TTTCGGCAAAATACTTGTAAACAACTGACACACTAACATGCCCCGGTTCAAGGATGAAAGAACATGGAGATTGCTCGAACTATGTTTCACGTTTAAAGGAAAACTTTGATTTTATAGCACTAAAAACGACTAAGAAATCAGAAAACTAATTTTCTTGGGAGTTCTTAAAATGTTCCAATGTCAGAAGCATACTCTTAATTGGGTACTTGTTCTATGCAATCTTCTAGTCAGTAAAATTGTTATTTTTGAAATTGAATGTTGGCGCCCTGCCCAAAGCATGCTGTTAGCTATTCTAAGTGTACTTCAGCTAGCCTCTGCAAATTATGTAATCTAGTTGCTGTAGCCTCACTATCATGTCTCTCTTCTTTTCAAGGTTTAATTGCAATCTACCTTAATCAGTCGACCCTACTGATTAACTTCAAAGATATAATACACAACATGAAATTTTAGTAGAGAAATCGACCTAAAAAATATAAAAGTATGGATTGTGTATTCGTGAAACAGGTTTCACATTTGTTTTATCTTAAGACAATTATGTATAGATTTTATATTCGATTGGTTTGTGTGCGTGCATTTCCTCTCCTGAGAGCGATATCAAAGTTTTTGCTTCTTCTGGACCAGAAGCCGTCGTCGTCGTAGCATTCGAGCAATCACCCTAAGATAACCAATATTAGAGCCATCACGTATGGTCCAATAGATTCAAAGTGATAATTTTACATAAAGATGTAAAAATTCTCCTGATTTATGATTAAGAATAATTGTTCACTCAGGCGTCTTGGAATTTCTAGGACCATAGACAAAGCCTTCCTATAATTACGCAATCTAGGCATGCACGTGTAAGTTGCTGCCGGGTACCTCTCTCCAGGGAAAGTTGAAAAAAGTTTCACCTGACATTTAAAAAATCAATCAGACTGGCTACAATTAGTAGGTGTCCAGAAAGAATCAACAAGGGGAGTAGTCGTGAATTCAGAAGTGAAAACTTTCACCTCAAACCGCAAATCTTCTGAGCTCGTCAAAATGTGAATGAGCAAGCTTCTGTGTTAAACACCAAGTTTTTCGTGTTACTCCATTTCATATAAAACAGAAAAATAGGATGTAATCGCTGTAGTTACGAGCTGCTTTCAATATGAACTTATCAGTCAAAGCGGGTTCCGGTTGGATGAGGCAAGTTTTGTAGGCACAGAAAATGAACACAAAAACTATTGCTAGTCATTCACAAAATTTACTGCACAATTTCATAACAATTCTCTTTGTTATGATAGTTTGCCAAATAGGAACCATACTGAGACATTTCTATAATGTGGGTCCACGAGCATCGCATATATCAGCAGCCAAAATTGCGCATGCGATGTTCAGCCTATTGTTCAGATATGATTATGGTAAGGAATAGAGGCTCAAGAAAACCTCCCTAATTTTCGAAAAATTCAAATGCTTGAAACTATGCGTGGTTTATTTCTTACCTTCTTCTGTATTCTGATCGCTCCACCGGAGCTTCTCCGAGGCCGATTCCATCTAGGCTATACGAATTTGTCCCATACTTCCCTGGTTGTAGGTCTGAAACTCCATGATCGGTCATTAAAGAAATGTCTTTTAAAAAAATGTACCATAATTATAATTTGAAGGTGGTTGAATCTGGTAATTTGGCGCTGGAGGTACATTCACTTGGAAACTCGGTGTTGCTACTGATCGGTAAGTTGCAGGTGGAGCCGAATGATAATTAGTGAAGGGTGTAGACTGGTATCTGTTTATTTCACCACTTTTTGGAGGGCATGGGCAATACTCACCATCTTGGCCTGGCTCTCCTGGCGCTCCACTCTGAAAACTGCATATAAGATCAAATAATTTATCCATTAACTGTCTCTGAAATCAGTGGAAAAAAATAACGTGTCTCCACTTTTCCCACTATATTTACATTCTATTAGTTCGACAACATGACTTACGTATCCAGTACTTCCTGGTTGTCCTGAAGCGCCAGGCTTTCCCGGTGGGCCCATTACACCAGTAAGCCCAGGAGGTCCTGGTGGAGGTTGATATCCCCTAGGACCAGGCTCGCCGGGCGGTCCAGGCCTGCCGGGAAGACCTTTGGGACCTGGTACACCAACTCGGGTTACTGACGAACGACCAGGACTGCCAGGTGGACCCAAGGCTCCCGGTTGTCCTCGAATGAGACTTCTTTTAACGAAAGCTTATTTATGAAGTAGGCTAAGTATACACTAATTATTATATTCCTATAATCTATACAGGTTTCGGTTCCAACTCTTAGGTTAAGATTACCTGAGATTTTGCGCCACTAGTATAGTAAACGCTAGACAAGCAAGTTTTTTCATAGATTTTTACTTAAATTGTATTGATAAACTGGACGTGAACCAGCTGATAAAAAAAAAGTCTTAAATGATTTCTTACAAATCCATTTGGATAAGACATTATCTAAAATATGTGACTATAAGCCATAGATTTTACCTTAACAAAAAAGCAAACAAACTGTGACCATCTGTTAGTTCACTGCGAGCTTGCTTCGTCATAGTATAGCGCAAGAGTATTCCTTCCAAATTTTTTTTT